GCCTCTCACTGTTGTGGCCTTTCCCGTCATGGAGCACAGGCTCTGGACGCACGGGCTCAGCGGCCATGGCTCATGGGCCCAGCTGCTCCACGGCATGTGGGATCTTCCCGGACTGGGGCACGAACCCGTGTCCCCTGCATCGGCAGGCGGACTCCCAACCACTGAGCCACCAGGGAAGCCCTCTCCTCAACTTTTTAAGTGCTTAGATTGTTTCTTTAATAGTTATTTTTCTTTTGAAGTTTTAAAATTCTTGAATCCATTTTTTAAAGTAATGTAGATTTTCAAAAATTGTCCAGTTGTCTGCATTTTCAAATTTACTGCCAAAATTTATTCTAACACTTTTTGTCTTTATAACATACACTTGTAATTATACTTTAAAAAATTCTTAATGTTTATCTATGCCTCCTTTTTTTCTTTTTCTTGATCAGGCTGGACAAAGGCTTATTTATTTTGTTAGTAATTACAAATAATCAGATTTTATTTTGTTGATTCTCTTTATTGAATCTTTATTCTCTGTTAACTTCTACTCTATCATGTCCTTCTTTCATCTGTCTTTGGGATTAGTCTGTTGTTTTCTAATGTATTGAGTTAGATAATTTAGGTCATTATCTGTGATTTTCTAATATAAGCAGGTTAAAGCTACAGTTTTCCCTCTTGAATATCACTTTAGTTATATTCCATCATTTAATACATGGTATTGGTCATCATTCATTATAAGTGCTTTTTAATTTCTGTTATAATTTCTCCTATGACCTGTGAGATATTTAGAAGTATTTGTAAATTCAAAAATGATGCAAGGATACAGTTTCAAAGTTGTTACTGAATAATGTTTTTATATATAACTAATTGAAATTGTTACATATTTATGAGTAGACAGTTACGTTAATAACTTAAATAAAAAATTTAAATCTTCGTTGTCAGTGTGTCAGGTTGATGTCATTTTGCCTACAGTGGAAAAGAATGAAAACATCAGTAGAGTAAACATACTTTCTGTGAGGCTTATGTTTACAAATATATAGGATTAAAATTTTTTTCCTTAGTATTCATTTCTGATTTAATTGAAGTGTGATTAGAAAACATGGTATGTATGATCATTCTCTGGCATTTTTGGAGACTTGTTTTTAGTTTCCATATGATTGGTATTTATTTGTTTGGGTGAATGTACGTGTGAATGTTCTGTATGTGCTTGGAAATAATATGCGTTATTTAATTGTGTGACTTAGGTGTTCTGTATGTTTTTTTTAAAAGTCCACTGTCCTTCAGCCTTTTGTTAATGTACCTCCTAAAATATCTTTGAAAACAATTCTTGCATTTTAAGTTGGTGTTTAAAGTATTTCATTGTAAGTTTAAATAGTGCAGAGGATATAATGACTGGTATATTGTGTAAAACTTGACATTTAAAAATAAAACTGTTTCACTGTTCTCTTTAAAGCATCTGATGACTCCTAAATATTTTAGTTATTTGGTACCCTCATGATTATTTAAAACACACGTAACTTTGTATCAACCTTACTGTACAGGACAACTAAAAAACTAGATAAAATATATTTTATAATGTGCTTGAAAGAATCGTAGCAATCAAATTTTAAAATATAGGGGAAAAATATATTTAATTAAGAATTCAGTTGTAAGTCGTGTTGAACGAGAAGATTTTGACTGCTACTGCATTTTGTGCTGATTTTAAGTGTTGTTACTTCAGCCCCATTGCAGATTATAGATGTTATGTAAATGTACTTCACTATCTAATAATTTTTTTTCTGCTTCTTTCCTAGGAGTCACACCTGTGTATCATAGTATGTTTGCTTTAATGAATGAAACAGAAAGGATCTGGTATCCACCCAACCACGTCTTCCATATAGATGAATCAACCAGGCACAATGTACTCTACAGAGTCAGGTACTTTCTCCAGTAAAGTGACTAATTAACTTAATAGTAAAAGGGCAAAGTGGGAGAAATTATCAACCATATTTTTTAATTGCAAGGTCTTTAATATCAGAGACCAGAACCAATTAGCATCTAATCTTCTTCAATTAAGACTCTCTTTCCCCACTAGAGAAAGTGTTCATACATGTTCTTTAACTAGAATGCTCTGAGAATAAAGCTGTCCTGGTGAGATGCTACTTTACCACTTAAGATTATAGTTAAATTTTGAACAGGGCAAGAATGGCCTTTACTAGCAAAATCCTAAATGTTTGGAATATTGATAGTTTCCCAGGAAATTTGATGTTTTGTTCAATAATATGTAATCTCACATTTTTTCTTTTTAATAACTTTTTTTTTAAGTTGAAGTGAAGGAAAGATAAGATTTTGCCAATGATTATTTACAACCTCAAATTATAAGTTACTTTATTGGATAATCTTTGGTAATATGTAGTACCAATTTAGAGAAATCCAGAGGTACTTTTCCATTCAAAAGGATGAAACAAAGAAATAAGTTTGATCTCTGGTTCTTACTTATGAAATAGATCCATTCCATACAGAGTCAGTGTTGCATAGTAAAAAAGAAAATGGACTCATTCATGTTTTTAAAAAGAAAAGGAGACCGTAATAAACTAAGACTTAAGAGAGGCATCCTTACCACGACAAAGGATATGTGCAAAAAACATGTGGCAAATAATATTCTTAAATGGTAAAATGTTAGAAGCATTCTCTTTAAAATCAGGAACAAGATGTATAGAAAACAAAGATAGCCGTGATCACTGCTTGTATATAGGATTTTGGTGGAGTTCCTAACCAGTATAAGTAAGACAGGAAAAATAAATAAAATATTTCATAATTGAGAACAAAGAAGCAAAAAGTCATTATTTGGGGATGATATGATTGTTAACATAGAAAATATGAACAAATCTACAGGCATCAATAATAATCATTCAGCAGAAGGCTAGATTTATGTGATCAGTATGTTAAAAAATTAACTATTTCCATACACCACAAACAAACAGAAAGAGGTCACTTAAAATAATGACTAATAACAACAAAAAACATAAGGGACCTAGGATTAAATCTATTCAAGTTATATAAGAGTTATGCAGATTTTAAGACTTTTCAATTTGTGTTATTTAAAGAAGCAGGTAATATGCATATGTTTCACAAGATATCAGTATCTGATTAAGAATATTTTCTTTATCACTTTCTATAATTACTGTACTTTCTGCAATCAGCAAGTAGTATATCTTTTTATTTTAAAATGTTTGTAGAGCAGTGGTCTGCAGTCTTTTTCTGTAAGAAGACAGATAGTAAATATTTTAGGCATTGCAGGCCATACTGTCTCTGTTGTAGTTATTCAACTCTATTATTATAGTGTGAAAGCAACCATAGACAGTAAGTAAATGAATGACCATGACTGTGTTCCAGTAAAACTTTATAAAAATTGGTAGTGGACCAGATTGGGCCTGTGAGCCATAGTTTGCTGACCTCTTCTTAAGAATTAAAAAATATGTCCCATATCAAATTCATGACTTTCTCGTATTTTTAAACTAAGGGGGCACATATCCATTGCTACCTATAATCAAAAGTTCCAAGGATAGTCTAACCAGAAACTACCCAAAAGGAGATTTTATATAATTAAAAAAAAAATTCCACCTGTCTTTTATTCAGAGGCTATTCTTCATTTCCTCTATTACATATTTATGGGTTATTTCAAAATCAACATAAAAGAGCAACAATTATAAAACTGTGTTGGAGGGCTTATAATGTATAAAGATGTAACTTTTATGACAAATATAGAATAAAGGGAATGGAATAGAGTTTCTGTATTTTATTGAAATTAAGTTGATATGAATAAGAACTAGATTGTTTAAGTTAAAATGTCTGTTGTAATCCTCTGGGAGACTCCTATGAAAATAACTCAAAAATATATAGTAAAAGATAAAACAAGAGACTTAATGTATGTAATACACTAGAAAATATCTATAGCAATAATGGAGGAATATATGAACAAAAAATTGAAAAAAAGCCTAATAGAAGCAAAATGACAGACATAATAAATACTTTATTAACAGTAATTACCTTAAATGTAAACGAATTAAACACTCAGGTCAAAAGGCAGAGATTGGAGGACTGAATTAGAAAAAAACATAAATTACATGCTGTCTATAAGAGGCACACTTTGCATTCAAAAACACAAATAACTTGAAAGCAAAGGGTTGAAAAAGATAAAACAGGCATTCAGTAACTGAAAGAGAGCTGGAGTAGCTGTATTAATATCAGACAAAATTGTCTTTAAGATATATATTGTTGCTAGAGACAGAGGAGGGACATTTTATAATTATCAAGGAGTTAATCTGTTAGGAAACATAATAACATTTGTTTAAAATTGTTATAAGTTGGATCCAACTACAGAGCTCCAAAATAAATGAAGCAGCAATGAAAGAATTAAAGGGAAAACTAGACAATTCAACAATAATAGTTGGAGACTTCAATACGTCACTTTCAGTAATGGACAGAACAACTAGACAGAAGATCAGCAAGGAAATAGAAGACTTGACCAACACTGTAAACCAGCTAGACATACATAAATAGAACACTGCACCCAACCACAGCACAATACACATTCTTTTCAAGTGCATATGGAATATTCTCCAGGATAGATCATATGTTAGTCCACAAAATGAATCTCAATAAATTTACAAAGATTGAAGTCATACAAAGTATGTTCTCTGACCACAGTGGAATTAAATTAGGGATCATTAACAGAAGGAGATCTGGAAAATTCACAAATACATGGTAATTAACAACACATTTCTAAATAACTGAGGGGTCAGAGAAGAAATCACAAAGGAAGATGGAAAATACTTTGATATGACTGAAAATGAAAACGGATCATATCAAAACTTATGGTATGCAGCTAAAACAATGCTTAAAGGAAATTCATAGCTATAAGTGCCTATATTAAAAAAGAAAGAAGTTCTCAAAGCTACTAACATTCCACTTTAACAAAGTAGGAAAAGAAGAATATATTAAATTCAAATCAAGCTGAAGGAAATAATAAAGATCAGAGTAGAAATAAATGAAATAGAGAATAGGAGGACAACAGAGAAAATCAAGAAACCAAAAGCTGGTTCTTTGAAAAGATCAACAATATCAGTAAACCTTTAGCTAGACTGACCAAGATAAAAAGAGAGAAGCTTAAATTATTAAAATCAGGAATAAAAGAGGTAACATTACTGTGACCTTACAGAAATAAAAAGAATTATAAGGAACAACTGTATGCCAACAACGAAATGGACAAATGTTTAGAAAGACACAAACTGTAGAACTGACAAAGCAAGAAGTAGAATGTCTGAATAGACCTTAACAAGTAAAGAAATGGAATTCAATTAGTAATTTAAAAAAACTTTCCCGGGCTTCCCTGGTGGCGCAGTGGTTGAGAGTCCGCCTGCCGATGCAGGGGACACGGGTTCGTGCCCTGGTCCAGGAGGATCCCACATGCCGCAGAGCGGCTTGGGCCCGTGAGCCATGCCTGCTGAGCCTGCACGTCCGGAGCCTGTGCTCCGCAACGGGAGAGGCCACAACAGAGAGGGGCCTGCGTACCTCAAAAAAAAAAAACAAAAAACTTTTCCACAAAGGAAAGCCCAGGCCCAAGTGGCTTTACTGGTAATTCTATTAAACTTTTAAGGAAGAGTTGATACTAGTTATTCACAAAAAGTGAAAAGGAGGGAACACTTCCTAATTCATTCTGTGAGTTCACCATTACCCTGATACCAAATCCAGACAGACATCTAAAAGAAAAGAAAGCTACAGACAAATATCCCTTATAAACATAGTTGTAAAAATCATCAAGAAAATACTAGCAAACAAAATTCAGCAATATATAAAAAGGATTAAATATTGACCAGGTGGACTTTACTCCAGGAAATACAAGGTTGCTTTAACATATGAAAATCAATCCATCTATATAATGTACCATATTAGTAGAATAAAGAATCAAATCTTATTATCATCTTAATAGAGACAAACATTTGACAAAATCCAACATTCTATTGTGATCAAAATATTAAACATAATAAGGATGGAAGGGAACTTAGTCTGATAAAGGGCATCTGTGAAAAACCCAAAGCTAACCTTATGCTTGATAGTGAAAGGCTGAATGCTTTCTTCCAAAGATCAGGAACAAGACACAAATATCTGCTCTCACCACTTCTGTTTAACACTGTACCATAGATTCTAGCCAGGGAAAATAGGCAAGAGAAAGAAATACAGGGCATCTATATTGGAAAAGAAGTGGTAAAACTCTCTGTTCACAGATGATACGATCTAGTATATGAAAAATCCTAAGGAATTAAGAAACTGTTAGAACTAATAAATGAGCTCAGCCCAGTTACAGGATAGAAATACAAAATCAGTTGTATTTCTATATGCTAACAATTAGAGAAGAAATGTGAAATTAAGAAAATACCATTTACCATGGCATAAAAGAATACTTAGGTATAAACCTGACAAAAGAAGTGCACAGTTTGTGTACTGAGAAATATAAAATATTATTGAAAGAAATTAGAGAAACACCTAAATAAATGGAAAGATAATATAGGAAGACTTAATATTGTTAAGATGGCAATGTTCCCATAATTAATCTGTATATTCAATGCAATCTCCACTGAAATTCTAGCTATCTTTATTGCAGAAATTGAAAAATTTGTCATAAAATTCATAAAAAATCAAAGGGACTTGGAATAGCCCAAACAGTCTTGAAAAAGAAGAGTTAGAAGATTCACACTCATTTCAAAACTTCATCCACAACCACAGTAATCAAGACAGTGTGGTGCTGACTTAAGGTTAGATAATAGATTAATGGAGTAAAATTGAAAGTCCAAAAATAATCTCTCATACTATGGTAATAGACTTTAGACAAGGGTGCCAAGACAATTCATGGGGAAAGAATAGTCTTTTCAACAAATGGTGCCGGGACAACTGAATATCCACATGTAAAGTAAATGAATTTAGACAACTCACACTGTTTACAAAAAGGTAACTTAAAATGGATCATAGACCTAAATCTAAGAGCTAAAACTGTAAATTCTTAGGAGAAAACAGGATCATGTGTTTGTGTACTTAAATTAGGCAGTGATTTCAATATGGCACCAAAAACCTAAGCAACAAAAGAAAAATAGGTTAATTGGGATTCATCAAAGTATATGTTTGTGCATCAAAGGATACTGACAAGAATGTGAAAAGACAACCTATAGAATGGAAGAAAATGTTTGTAAATTATATATCTGACAGATGTCTTATATCCAGAATATATAAAGAACTCTTACAGTTCAGTACAGTGACAACTAACACAATTAAAATAGGGGCAAAGTTTTGAATAGCCCTTTCTCTAAACAAAACATACAACTGATAAATAAGCATGTGAAAAGATACTCAAAATCTTTATTCATTAGAGAAATGTAAATCAAAACCACAATGGGATACCATTTTACCCACTAGGATGGCAAGCATTAAAAAGATGGACGATAACACATTGTTATAAATTTGTCAAATTAGGGATTTCCCTTGTGGTCCAGTGGTTAAGACTCCATGTTGCCAATGCATGGGGCACGGGTTCAATCCCTGGTTGTGGAACTAAGATCCCACGTGCTGCGCGATGTGGCCAAAAGATTAAAAAAAAGAAATTGTCAAATTACCTCTTATTAAGTGGAACATAGGGTGCCAGATGGTGAGCCACATTTCAACAACAGACTACAAGAGGAACTGAAGTAGAAAAAAGTTCATTACTCACAGGTTCTTGAGGAAGTACCCACATGCCTTAAGGGGTCACATGGAGAGGTCAAGGCACAGTGCAGATAGAGAGAGTCAGGACCTGGAGCATGTGCCTTTATTAGGGTTTAAGTGTAGAGTGCCTTGAGGTTCCTGGACTAAGGCCAGACTGGTCAATTCAAAAGAGTTGGGTTTTGGTAAGCCACGTAGGGATCTTATTGAAGAGGTGCATAGGACTAGGCACTGGGAGGCAGGGATGAGTGTTGATCACAGAGGCTGTTGGGGAAGTCGTATAAGGAACTTACATTTGCTTGTGACTCTGCAAGTTGTTCTCTAGGGCATGCGTTTGTGTGGGAGCTAATGTCAGTTTAAGGTCACTACAGGACTCTTGACGAAACAAAATGAATGCTGAGTCAGCAGCACCATAGAGTAACTTAGCTAAACTCTCCACCCAAGTGTTGGCAAGGATGTGACCTGTTGGGACACTCATACATTGTTAGAAGTATAAAATAGCGCTGCTTTGAAAGACAGTTTGGCTACTCCTTTAAAAGATAAACATAGAATTATCATATGATTCAGCAGTGCCACCCTAGGTATATATGCAAGAGAAATGAAAACATACTTCCACAGGAAAGAAAACTTGTATATGATTATTTATAGCAACATTATTCACAATAGCAAAAAGATGGAAACAAACCAAATGTCCATGAAGTCATGAATGGTTAAGCAAAATGTGGTATATCCATACAATGGGAATTTAATTGGGCAATAAAAAGAAATGAAGTACTGATACTGCTATAAATGTGGATGATCCTTGAAAACATTATGCTAAGTGAAAGAAGGTAGAAAAAGCCACATATTATATGATTCCATTTATATAAAATATGCAGAATAGACAAATTTATAGAGGTAGACTAGTGGTAACTTAGGGCTGAGGAGTAGATAAAGGTGGCTTGGGTAGGGAATTTCTTTTATGGAAGATAAAGATGTTCTAAAGTTAGGTTGTGGTGATGTCTGTACAGTGCTTTGAATATACTAAAAACATTGAATTGTATACTTTAAATGAGTGAACTTTATGTGAATTTTATCTCAGTAGAGCTGTAAATAAAAAAAGCAATATAGAATTTTTTTGTTTCTCTGAAGGACAAGTTTGTAACCTCCATTTTTTTTAACTGAAGTATAGTCGATTTACAATGTTGTGTTAGTTTCTTGTGTACAGTAAAGTGATTCAGTTATACATATTTATATATATTCTTTTTCATATTCTTTTCCATTATAGCTTATTACAGGATATTGACTATCCCTGTGCTATATAGTAGGACCTTGTTTATCCATTCTATGTATAATAGTTTGCATCTGCTAACCCCAAACTCACAATCCAACCCTCCCCCGCTCCCCTTCCCCTTTGGCGACCACAAGTCTTCTCTATGTCTGTGAGTCTGTTTCTGTTTCATAGATAAGTTCATTTGTGTCATATTTTAGATTCCACAGATAAGTGATATCATATGGTATTTCTCTTTCTCTTTCTGACTGGCTTCGCTTAATATGATAATCTCTAGGTCTGTCTGTGTAGCTGCAAATGGCATTATTTCATTCTTTTTTATGTAATCTCTGTTTCTTTAAAGAAGAAGCAATTATTTGTTTTCACACCAAATTAGCATTTTCACATTCCTCTACTGATGTTCCTAGAATTACATTAAAAATTTTTTTTTGAATTTTATTTTATTTTTTTAATATAGCAGTTTCTTATTAATTATCTATTTTATACATATTAGTGTATATATGTCATTCCCAGTCTCCCAATTCATCCCACCACTACCACCCCACCCCGCTTTTCCCCCTGGTGTCCATACTAAAATTTTTTTTGTTAATGTTTTCTTTCTACATTTCTCTATTTTCTATTATTTGCTTCTATGTTCTGTTCATGGAAGAAGGCAGAATATGGATTTTAAACTTATGTTTCTTGTATTTTCTGGCTGTATTATTACCATGGCTTTACCCATATTTCCTTTTGTCCTCGCTTTGTATTTAACACTGTTAGTTGTGTTTTCTGATTATGGGATAATACCTTTTGGTAGATCGGAAGTGGTTATATATATATAGTATGTTTATATTAGAACTGTTAGAGGCTGACTGATTGTTTTAATTGTCTTGTAGATTTTACTTTCCTTACTGGTATTGTAATGGCAGCAACAGAACCTATAGGCATGGAATATCTCGAGGTGCTGAAGCTCCTCTTCTTGATGACTTTGTCATGTCTTACCTTTTTGCTCAGGTATGTACATGTGTTAAATGATAAATATCTGGCCATGTAAATGTATCTCTTAATCAGAAAAATATTCACATATGGGAAAATTGATGTTCTGTCTGCATAGCAGGTGCAGAAAGGTAACAAAATTGAGTCTTTTATCACTAATTTTTAATCCCATGGTTTATGGATAATAGAATCTATCTTATAAAGATTCCTAGAATTGCCCCTTTTGAATTTTCTTTTTATTTTAGTGCTTTAGATCATTTTAAGGATTTCACAAGTTTAGACTGAGTTTTACAACATGATTCATGTAGACCTAAGTGGCTGGAATATAGGACAGTGAAATTTCTTTAGAGAAAAATTTTTTTAAATTCCTAAACAATTTCAGACTTAATTAGTGGGTTGTAAAATGTGAAGAATGTAAGTAATTGCATAAAAAATGAACTACAGTAGTTTGTGTAGCCCCTCATAGGAGGGTGGCTGGTTGTTGATACTTAGTCTGAGAACTGTGTTCCAGTTGTTTATTAATATTGTTAAATTTTTGTGGTGTTTTTGAACATTTTTAAATGCTTTTATCTATTGCCTTGATTAGTGCTTTTGTGTAAAGATACACTCTTGATATCCCCAAGGTATCAGATCAAGGAGTTCTAAATCAGATCTGCTAATATCATGGGAAATAACCTCACAGATCCTCATAGCTCACATTTCTAACATGTGTAGTAGGGCTAGTTCAGTTTGTGAGCAACAAATTGAAAAATATTTCTCTTTTGCAATATGAGAGCAACCAACTTTTTTGTGTGTGAGGGGGTAAAATATACTTAATAAAATTTACTATTTTAACCATTTTTAAGTGGTCAAATCAGTGGCATTAATTCAGTACCTTCATTTTTTTTTTTTTCGGTACGCGTGCCTCTCACTGTTGTGGCCTCTCCCGTTGTGGAGCACAGGCTCCGGACGCGCAGGCTCAGAGGCCATGGCTCATGGGCCCAGCCGCTCCGTGGCATGTGGGATCTTCCTGGACTGGGGCACGAACCCGTGTCCCCTGCATCAGCAGGTGGACTCTCAGCCACTGTGCCACCAGGGAAGCCCAGTACCTTCATATTGTTCTGCACCCATTACCACCATCCATCTCCAGAACATTTTTCATCTTCCTAAATTGAAACTTTATACCCATTAAAAAATAACTTCTCATTCCCCTCTCCTCCTGACCCCTGGCAGCCACCTTTCTACTTTCTGTCTCTATGAATTTGCTTATTCCAGGTAGCTCATATAAGTGGGATTATACAGTATTTACTCTTTTGCGACTGGCTTATTTCTCTTACCATAATGTCTTCAGGATTCAACCATGTTGTAGCATGTGTCAGAATCTCATTCCTTTTTAGGGCTGAATAATACTCTATTGTATGTACCACATTTTGTTTACCCATTCATCTCTTGTTGGATAGTTGGGTTGCTTCTACCTTTTGGCTCTTATGAATAACACTGCAACGAACATGGGTGTACAGATATCTCTCTGAGATCTTACTTTCAATTCTTTTGGATATCTATCCAGAAGTGGGATTACTAGATGATATGGTAGTTGTATATTTAATTTTTTTGAGGAACTGCCATACTGTTTTCCATAGCAGCAGCACCGTTTTACATTATTACCAGCAGCACACAGCATTCCACATCCTCACCAACACTTACTTTCTGCTTTTCTGATGGTGGCCATTCTGATAGGTGTGAAGTGGTATCTCGTTGTGTTTTTTTTTTTTTTTTTTTTTGCGGTACGCAGGCCTCTCACTGTTGTGGCCTCTCCTGTTGCGGAGCACAGGCTCCGGACGTGCAGGCCCAGTGGCCATGGCTCATGGGCCCAGCCGCTCCACGGCATGTGGGATCTTCCCGGACCGGGGCACGAACCTGTGTGCCCTGCATCGGCAGGCGGACTCTCAACCACTGCGCCACCAGGGAAGCCCTGCATGTATCTTTTTGAATTATAGTTTTTTCCAGATATATGCCAGGAGTGGAATTGCTGGATCATATGGCAACTCTATTTTTAGTTTTGAGCTCCATACTGTTCTCCATAGTGGCTGCACCAACTTACATTCCCTCCAATAGTGTAGGAGGGTTCCCTTTTCTCCACATCCTCTCCAGCATTTGTTATTCATAGACTTTTTAATGATAGCTATTCTGACAAGTGTGAGGTGGTATCTTGTACTTTCGATTTGCATTTCGCTCACAATTAATGATGTGGAACGCCTGTTCATGTGCCTGTTGGCTACCTGTATGTCTTCTTTGGAGAAATGTCTATTTATATCTTCTGCCCATTTTTCAATTAGGTTATTTGTTTTGTTGTTATTGAATTGTATGAGCTATTTGTATATTTTGGAAATTAAGCCCTTGTTTGTCACACCATTTGCAGGTATTTTCTCCCATTCTGTAGATTGTCTTTTCATTGTGTTATGGTTTCCTTTGCTATGTAAAAGCTTGTAAGTTTGGACTAGGTCCCAGTTGTTCGGTTTTGCTTTTATTTCTATTGCCTTGGTAAACAGACCATTGGTATGATTTATGTCAGAGAATGTTTTGCCTATGTTCTCTTCTAGGAGTTTTCTGGTATCATGTCTTATATTTAAGGTTTTAAGCCATTTTGAGTTTATTTGTGTATACAGTGTGAGGGTGTCTTCTAATTTCATTGATTTACATGCAGCAGTCCAACTTTCCCAACACCACTTGCTGAAGAGACTTTTTTCCATTGTATATTCTTGTCTCCTTTGTTGAAGATTAATTGACTGTAGGTGTGTGGGTTTATTTCTGGGCTCTATATTCTGTTCCACTGATCCATATATCTGTTTTTGTACCAGTACCACACTATTTTGATTACTGTAGCTTTTAATATTGTCTGAAGTCTGGGAGGGTTATGCCTCCTGCTTTGCTCTTTTTCCTCAGGATTGCTCTGGCAATTCTGGGTCTTTTATGGTTTCATACAAATTTTAGGATTATTTGGGAATTCCCTGGTGGTCTAGTGGTTAGGACTTGGCACTTTCAATGCTGGGGCCCAGGTTCAATCCCTGGTCAGGAACTAAGAATCCTGCAGGCTGCACGGCACAGCCAAAACTAAAAAATAAAAATTAGGATTATTAGTTCTGTGAAAAATGTCATGGGTAATTTGAAGGGATTGCATTAAATCTGTAGATTTCTTTGGGTAGTATGGCCATTTTAACAATATTAATTCTTCCAGTCCAAGAGCATGGGATATCTTTGTATTTCTTTGAATCATCTTCAGTTTCCTTTATTAATGTTTTATAGTTTTCAGCATATAAGTCTTTCACCTCCTTGATCAGCTTTATTCCTAATTATTTTATTTTCTTGGATGTGGTTTTAAAAGGGATGGTTTTTTAACGTTCCTTTTCTGATATTTCATTTTTAGTGTAAAGAAATGCAACCGTTCTGTATGTTAATCTTTTATTCTGCTACCTTGCTGAATTCGTTTATCAGTTCTAGTAGTTTTTGTGTGGAGTCTTTAGGGTTTTCTGCATCTAGTGTCATGTCACCTGCATATAATGACAGTTTTATGTTTTGAGGTAATTTTTGTATGGTGTAAGGTAAGGGTCCATCTTCATTGTTTTGCATGTGGATATCCAGTTTTTTCAGCACCATTTGTTGAAAAGACTATCCTTTCTCTGCTGAATGGTCTTGTTGCTCTTGTCAAAAACCATTTGAAAACCAACCAACTTTTTACAGCTTCCTTTGTTTCAGTAGTCATTAAGAAAAGAGAGAGGGCTTCCCTGGTGCCTCAGTGGTTGGGAGTCTGCCTGCCGATACAGGGGACATGGGTTCGTGCCCCGGTCCGGGAGGATCCCGCATGCCGCGGAGCGGCTGGGCCCGTGAGCCATGGCCGCTGAGCCTGTGCGTCCGGAGCCTGTGCTCTGCAACAGGAGAGGCCACGGCAGTGAGAGGCCCGTGTACCGCATTAAAAAAAAAAAGAAAGAAAGAAAAGAGACAGGCCTCTGAGAAGAGTGTACTATGAAGTTATGACTTTATACTGCTTTTAGAATTATATTATTTCATCTATTCTGCAGATCTGGTTTATTTTGATGGAATGCTATTAAGTTCCATTAATAAGGCAAGTTTTCCTAAACTATTCATTGATCTACTTTACCCTAATATTACTACTATAACATCTCATACTTCTTTTTCTTTTTTTTCTTTTTTTTTTTTAACATCTTTATTGGGGTATAATTGCTTTACAATGGTGTGTTAGTTTCTGCTTTATAACAAAGTGAATCAGTTATACATATACATATGTTCCCATCTCTCTTCCCTCTTGCGTCTCCCTCCCTCCCACCCTCCCTATCCCACCCCTCCAGGCGGTAACAAAGCACCTAGCTGATCTCCCTGTACCATGCGGCTGCTTCCCACTAGCTATCTACCTTACGTTTGTTAGTGTGTATATGTCCATGACTCTCTCTCGCCCTGTCACAGCTCACCCTTCCCCCTCCCCATATCCTCAAGTCTGTTCTCCAGTAGGTCTGTGTCTTTATTCCTGTCTTACCCCTAGGTTCTTCATGACATTTTTTTTTCTTCTTAAATTCCATATATATGTGTTAGCATACGGTATTTGTCTTTTTCTTTCTGACTTACTTCACTCTGTATGACAGACTCTAGGTCTATCCACCTCATTACAAATAGCTCAATTTCATTTCTTTTTATGGCTGAGTAATATTCCATTGTATATATGTGCCACATCTTCTTTATCCACTCATCCGATGATGGGCACTTAGGTTGTTTCCATCTCCGGGCTATTGTAAATAGAGCTGCAGTGAACATTTTGGTACATGACTCTTTTTTAATTTTGGTTTTCTCAGGGTATATGCCAAGTAGTGGGATTGCTGGGTCATATGGTAGTTCTATTTGTAGTTTCTTAAGGAACCTCCATACTGTTCTCCATAGGGCTGAACCAATTCACATTCCCACCAGCAGTGCAAGAGTGTTCCCTTTTCTCCACACCCTCTCCAGCATTTATTGTTTCTAGATTTTTTGAT